CATCATCGCTTTCTCAAAATAACATAAGACCATATTATAACATCGACTTAGATAAAGAATAAAATAAAATATTAAAATCAAGATGTATCTCGCTGCATTGCGCGAGTACCCTTCTAGTTAGTTAAAAATACATTTATTTATAAAATTATTTAAATTATCGGGCCGGGCCGGGCCGGACCGGTCCATAGCCGGTCCCATAACCGGTCTCGGTCCCGGTCCCACGAAACTTCCAAAAACCCCAACCGGTCCCGGTCCTCCGACGATCCCGGGCTGGGCCGATTTGGCCATCACTATCAAGATAATTATGTATTTACAAAATACCGTCTCAATTTATTCTATTTCATTTGATTCGGGATGTGATATGGTTCTGAAACAACCAATGTCTAAATGGGCCGTTTATTGTACATGATATGTTGGGCCAAGTAGAACCAACATGGGCTTGAAATTTTTAAAGGAGTTTTAGATGGCCCGTTTTGATAACTTTATTTCTTCTGCGGCAAGCCATAGATTCTTTTCTTTGACATATTTCTTCGTTTTCCCCGATCTCCCTCTCTCCTAGGGTTCATACTCAAATTCTGAATTGTATCAGATTCAACGATTTCTTCACTCCCGTGCTCTACTTGAAGCCAAAATGGTAAGTTTTGTGATTCAATTATAATATCATATTATACTGAGATCATAATTGAACCTTCATGCTAAGTGGAACACTCTTGTATGTGTTTTTTTCAGGAAGGAGGAGGTAGTTTGGATTCTCAAATAGAGTCTTTGTTGAATGTGGAGAAGCAGATGAGACTTAATGGCGACGTTGCCGGTACAAAGAAGGCCGCGATTGATATTCTTAAACTTTGCTTCGAAAGTCGTGCTTGGAAGACACTAAATGATCAGATTGTTGTGTTGTCCAAGAGGCGTGGTCAGTTGAAGCAGGTGAAACTTTTATCCGTTTATGGGCTTAAAATTGAGCGCCTTTTTGGTTTAAAGATGACGTGTTAATCAATGTTAATTGTAATACTAACTCCTGATGCGTTGGGAATATCCTTGAAGATTTTATGCGTTTGATGTACTTTTGGTGGGTCAATTATCAGGGTCATAGCTGTATACATAAGTCAATTATTTGATTCTGGAAAGTTGAGGTTTGTAGGAGCCTGTTAGGCTGTTAATGAAATATTATTAGTGAATGCATTTAGACATGTATACACTGTACAATGGTCTACCGCACATACAAACTTGAGTTATATATGGTTTCCAAAGTTGCTCTAGGTAGGATATATGGTTAATCCAACCTGTCAAGCTGCATTCTAAGAGAATCCATTGCCTTTCACTCTGGCCAGTTAACACTTAAGAGTTATAGTTAGAAATCTTTGATGCTGGACAGGTATTCTGCTCATTATTGAATTTGTGCAACAGGTACTATAAGGGTGTGGAGATTGTTTCTGGTATGGATAGTTGAGATAGTTTCTGGTTTTTATGAATATCGAGTTCGATGTTGTTTGTTTCTTGTTTACTTAATTGAGTTAGTATTTTTTGGGTAATATGGATATCGCTTGACCACAGTAAGAAATCAATCCGTGTATGCTAAGAAGGACCATTTGAGGTTGATAAGCTCTAGGTTCCGAGTGTATTATATTATTTACTGATTGGGATTGAACTTGAGTGATATAGGAATTAGCAGAAAATGACTATTTGAAGTTTGACAGTCATTGGATCATCCAAGGACCATGCATTTGGAGTTTGTACATTTTAGTGTTTGGTGCCATTCCTGCTCTAGAAAGCCTCCTGAAATATGTGACTCATTTAACTAAGTAATTGGACCAACATCAATGATGCCTGGGGAGTGTGTGCTGTTTGCTTTCATTCCTGTGATTAGAGGTGCATCAATGCTTTGTCGTTTTTGGGGATCATCAAAGGTACCTTGCCAGTCTCATCTTTCAAAGTTAACCTATTTGATCAGTTCCCTCAATGCTCTAGGCTTTGTTTAGGACGTTCTGATATTTTATGGAACATGACATAAAATAGCCTGTTCTTTCTCTTTGCAGTAATTTTGTTCAGTGGTTAGGTAGATATCAGAAGGAAGAAAACAAGAGTTAGGGAGGTAGATAGATACTTGCCCAGATGTGTTGTTTGTGTGATAGTGGGTTTTGACATGATATGTCACCTACTTCTATGATGCTCTATTTCTTTTTGTTTGTATATGCTATATACTTAGCCTGTTTAGGATACTAATACTTCTTATGTGCTTTACGTCATGTTATTTTTACACTTAGGCTGTCACTGCTATGGTGCAACAAGCAATGCAATATATCGATGAGACTCCAGATGTTGAAACTAAGATTGAGCTTATCAAAACACTTAACAGTGTATCTGCTGGGAAGGTGAGTTTTTTTAATATAAACGCAAATATGTTTGTCAATTCATTCTTGTTTTCTAGCTCTTTAATTCATCTCCGCTTTTGGTAGATTTATGTAGAGATTGAGAGAGCCCGATTGATTAAGAGGCTAGCTAAGATTAAGGAGGAACAGGGGGAAATAGCTGAGGCTGCTGATTTGATGCAAGAGATTGCGGTCAGTTTATAATGGAACTTTGTTAATAAGTTACTTGTATCCTCTCTTGTGATATTTTAAAATGAATTTTTGTACTAGATTCCTTTTTATAATGCCGCTTACTTTTGATGTGTATATCACAGGTGGAAACCTTTGGTGCTATGGCAAAAACCGAAAAGATTGCGTTTATTCTTGATCAAGTAGGCAATTTCATCAAGTTTCTGAACATTATTATTTGGAACAAGATTATGATACCTGGAAGCTCATTATGCGCAGGTCCGTTTGTGTTTAGACCGCCAAGATTATGTGCGTGCACAGATCCTTTCTAGAAAGATTAGTCCAAGAGTTTTTGATGCTGATGCCTCAAAAGAGAAGAAGAAGCCAAAAGAAGGCGAGAGCCTTGTTGAAGAAGCTCCTGCTGATATACCATCATTGCTGGAATTGAAGCGAATTTACTATGAACTCATGATTCGGTATGTGACCCCTTATTGTGCCTATTTTCTCATATGTATCTTTATTTGCTTACCGATGTCTGCAAATAGTCACACAACCTGTGCTTGAGTGGATAATAAATATTATAGCATCAAGGAAAAAGGGATTATTCACCGCCTTCTTGTGTGCGCCATTAAATCACTTGAATGACTTTTCTGGATTTGATCTCTTTATACATAATAGGTTTGAAGTTTCTTATGTGAATGGTCTTCTTGAATGATGCTATATTCTTGTGAAACTAAAAAGCTATTTGACAAATTTAACAGCTGATTCTGATTATATTTGTTCAACAAGAGAACCCACCACCAACAAAACCTCTCTTATGACTTGTCTGTGAGAGAGGTAACCTGACAGTGTATAACTGGAGTGTCAAGTGGTCCTCAAGTACTATTAGTATCTGCATCATTGTTTGGACTTGGACTAGTATGAAATATCAATCCACTTGCAAAATACAATACAGTTTGGTTTACTTGAAGCCAGAGTTAATTAGTTACAAAGTTTTGCTCATAAGATGTCAAATCATAATCGATAAACAAAATTGGCCAAGTTTAGTCCAACAGTCAAAGCCCCCCCAAAAAATCCTACAAAGGCAGTTGTTGATTGGTTACAATCCTAGTACTGTTGTTCCATGACGCTGAATCAGATATGGTCACAAAATACAAAGATATAAATTTTACAGAATTTTGGTTGAAGAATCTGGATTAAGATGTTGCTGACCATGATTTAAAGAACAAAAGAGAAGTTTGATGCCATTGGGCCGCTCCAACAAGGGTTCCAACCACATACTTGGGAGATTTGCATTTAGAGAGAGAGAGAGAGAACATGTTAGAAAACATAGAGAGGAAGAATCTTGAAGAGAGTAATAAGAATTCACTTTCTAAAGTAGGGTTTTCTTTTTGAAATAATCGAGGAAGTGGCAAATTAAGATGATGCCATCATCACAATCATAAAATGACTTTCTTCACTAGTCCAAGTCCAGTTAAGTTTATCATATCACTACCATCTACTCATCTAGCACTATTGTAGAACACTATATTGCATATGGTGGTTAGGCCAGAATCTTTTTTCCTCTTTCTGGAAGGGGGTGATTTCTGAACTGTCTGAAAATGGTTTTGTTTCTGGAAACAAATCCATCATAGTAGCATTAGTTGCAATCCTATAATTAAAGATGTCGAGCTTTGGACATGACAAGTTGATGAAAAAAGTATTATTATTTGACAACCTCAAGTATCAGGGGAAATGATTAATGTAGTATGAGCAATTAATCATAAATATATTGGTTCACTGATGATACAAGTTATGTGGGAGGATTGAAATCCATTGAAAGAGTGTATATTAAGGAGAAACGGCTAAAGATTACTTGGGTGCTGGTTACAGCAGCATCAGTATAACAATCGTTGCTCCTTTATAGTCACAACCACAATTATCACTATATTTATATTATAGGTTGAATGACAGAGCCAAGGTTTTTTTGCTTTTTATTCTGATAATACCTAACGATCATTGCTCTCTTTGTTCAGTCACTTGCCCGTTTTGGTTTTACACTACGTTTAGGATAGTCAAGAAGTATCAATCTATTATTAATATCCCATTTATAGACTTGGACCCACTTATCATGTAGTAGGATTGACTAATATGGCACATAAAGCCGACAACACATGATAACTTGTCATTTACATTCTTGAACTATGTAAAAAGAAAACTGCTATATACATCAACGACATATACATGCTAAGTAAGTTGACAACAAAATTAGAACATCTAAATCAGAGCGACTATTTCCAATGTCTATATATTGTTTTATGCTCAAAACGTGTGTGCGGGCCATTTGAAATGCATGTCCTCAAGAACCAATTGGGTGAGTACAGCCCAAGTTTGTTTTAGTGACTACACATAATTTTACATCTCTTTTGTTCTTATTGTTCTTATTATTAGTTACTGTTGGATTTGTGCAGATACTACTCACACAGCAATGACTATCTTGAAATATGCCGGTGTTACAAATCAATATATGAGATCCCTGCTGTCAAAGAGGACCCTGCTCAGTGGATTCCAGTAAGCATTCGCTTCATTTTGTTGGTTCATTACTTTTTTTGGTTTTAGACCTTCTAAAATGTGTATTTATAGTGAAATGATAATGGTGTGTTTGATACGTGCACAGGTATTGCGAAAAATTTGCTGGTATCTAGTACTGTCACCACATGATCCTATGCAGTCAAGCCTTTTAAACTCTACATTGGATGATAAAAATCTTTCAGAAATTCCTCATTTCAGGTATATTTTTATCTTTTTTACCCTTGTTTCTAATCACAACTTATGCTAAAGCTTTTGATGCTTCTTCAAAGGTCACTTCTAAAACAACTGATCACGATGGAGGTGATTAAGTGGACTGAATTGTGGAATACATTTAAGGACGAGTTTGAGAACGAAAAGAACATGCTAGGTGGCTCTTTGGGAGACAAAGCTGGGGAGGATCTTAGGGAGAGAGTTATCGAGCATGTAGATACACACTCTCACTAATGATACATATTTTTTTACTCTCCAAATGTTGATTTGCTCACAGAAACCTGTGTTTTTTGCAGAATATTCTGGTTGTTTCAAAGTACTATGCGAGGATAACGATAAAACGACTAGCAGATCTTCTGTGTCTGACTGTTGAGGTCTGTTTTACATACAACTTATATATGTCTACACATAGACACTATCATTTAGAAACCCAATATATCGTACAAACTTACAAACCAGTTTTCATGTGCTATTTCACATATGAAACAACACTTGAAAATTCAGTCTTCATACCGTATGTTTCATATGTGAAAATGCAACATATCTACACTGTATAAACATTGCATTTTCACATGTTATATATGAAACAACACATGAAAACTGGTTTGTGAGTTTGTATGCATTATTGGGTTTGTAAAAGAAGGGGGACTACATGCACATATAGAGACGAAGGATTGTGTAGAAGAGGAGTTAAGGTGAGAAGAGATCTGGAACCTTGATCACTTTTAATCTCACCCCACCCATGAATTGTGCTTGTCACGGGAATTGATCAACTGTATCTAGGTGCATCACATCCCCGTGCATCTTAAGGGTGGAGTGCATTCATGGGTGGAGATCCCTTCTCACCATAACTTTCCTTATCACCGGAACCGAACCCCATATATATATATACACACTTGCATTGAATGCTGAGTTAGGAGTGGTGTTTCAGGAAGCTGAAAAGCATCTGTCTGATATGGTTGTATCAAAAGCATTGGTAGCAAAGGTAGATAGACCAACGGGTGTGGTGTGCTTTCAGTCGGCTAAGGATAGCAATGACATCCTAAATTCATGGGCCATGAACTTGGAGAAGCTACTTGATCTGGTTGAGAAGAGTTGCCACCAAATTCACAAGGAAACCATGGTTCACAAAGCTGCCTTGAAAGTATGAAAATGGAACGAGTTTATGACGGAAATGGAGACAGAAAGCTTAAAATAGGTATGCTGCTGCTGGGTAGAAATGTAAAATTTGCACCTTCCTTTTATTTTGGTTTTGATGAATTTTGTTACAAATACTGATTCCACAGGGGTATGTTGTAACTTTTCTTGAATTCTAATTACACTTCTTCATTCGAATGCCCATCACCTTTGACCTCCATGGATGTTGGCTTCTACTGGTAACTTGGGTATTGGTGGATAATGACCCCTTGATAATTTTAAATATGCTCGAGTGTTGTGTTTTTTTGTCAAGATTTGAAGTTGCAACTCTTGGCTTGAAAACACTCAAAATTTTCTTGTGAAAGTTGGCAAACTCATCGCAAATCAACCATACGGGGATTGTATTGAACTTGAAATATTTTTTTGTAGGTGAAGACATAGAGGGGAGTTAACAGATTTTCAAGCTATTTTGCTCTTTTTGTCGGGTTTTTATTTGCAAAAGTAAAAAATTAATTAATAAAAATAACTCACAAATACATAATATAAAGATATATAATCTAACCCCTTCCTCAAACTTAAACTATATTTTGGTACCAAACCAAGGTTGTAATACTTACCTGATAGATGTTTACTAGATAAGATATGCTTACAAACAATCAGTTTTGATATGTTATCCAACAAGGTGGGCAAAAGTGATACTCTTGCCAATAAGCCTTTGCAATTTTGGTACCAAACCAAGGTTGTAATACTTACCTGATAGATGTTTACTAGATAAGATATGCTTACAAACAATCAGTTTTGATATGTTATCCAACAAGGTGGGCAAAAGTGATACTCTTGCCAATAAGCCTTTGCAATTTAACTTTTGCCACAAACATATACATCTCAATTTTTTATCGGATTGATGTTTTCAGGTTTACCAATTAAACATTTTGTAATTTCGTTGCCGACACGAAAGTTTCCAATAAGATTAGTCTTGGCAATTGATTGTCCATGATAAACATGAGGTTGCATTTTATGATCATCAATCTATTCCTTGACTAGAACCTTCATCAACCATTATCCTTTTTACACACTTTTCAATATCAAATTCATAGTTTTAATGATCCGTCTTGAACTTTTCATTATGCATATCCATATACTTCAGATGCCACAAACGCTTAAAACACAAGTTTATTAGTATTAACAAATTGTTTTGTCACGTATCAGAATTCAAGAATGTTAAACGCAAATTTGGACATAACCAAAACCAATAATTATTGTTTATTGTTTATTGTTAATATTTAATTCAATAGTCATTATGGAACGAAAATTGCATGTTAATTATTATTTATTGGGTTATTAGAATAGGAACATAATTAAATAACATCATTCTTAAACTTTATAACCAAACCAATGTTTCATAATTCTTAAAAGTTTATCCATGTTATCAATGCTGTAAATCGTAATTTTTTAAATTTAACAATTGCTTGTACACAAAATCAATTCTGTTGGGTTTAGGGGCTGTTCGGCAGTTGTTTAATGATTTGTTGCAGAATGATTAAGTAGTCAGAATGATTAAGAGACTCTCATGATATAGTGCAAAATGAAATATTATTGTTTGGTAATTGTTTACAATGAAATTGAGCGCTTAATGATTAAGGGAGACTCATGATACAAAATCATTTAGAGAGATTTAGAATTATTAAAAGACATATTTTTTTTGTTAAACAAAATTCACCTCTTAATGATTCAAATACTGTCTTTTAATTGAACTATTAAAAGTTGAATAAACAACCCCTTAATTTCAACAAATAATTCTATAGAAATTGGGTTAGGCCCAAAAACTATAATGGGTTTCTATTTGGGCAAAATCCAATAGAAATAAAACCCTAACCACTATAAGAGCTACAGAACAATCAACGGCGTTGCTGAAACCCTAAAAAAGCCTCTTATCTGTCATCCTCCTCGCTCTCTGCAGCTCGTCCGCCATGGTAAGTACACTATCATCTCGTCTTTCTTAACTCTTGTATTATGTTGTAATATGCACGTGTATTAGGTATTCTGTTACACACTAGATTTATATGTGGCGGAGGAAAAAACCCAGAAGCTTGATATACCTGAGCAGAGTGCAGCTAGGAAACTGAATCTGAATTTGTTTTCATATTTATTATCTTAGATGTAGTCAGAACCGATTTTGAATTGTTCATTTCGTGGTACGAATTATATGTGTACATAATATTTGTATATTTGATTTATTTGTATGTAATATCATCCAATGCTAGTATCAGAAGCAGTTTTGTTTTTGACGCCTATAGAAAGTTTCATCCGTTGGACTTCATACTTTGTCGATGATGCCATCTTCTTCACAACAATAGAAGTGCAACTCTTTTTTCTCTCGCAATATCGGATCTAGAACTGCGATTCTTATTTCGTAATGTCTCAACATGAATATGAGAAGTGGCTAATGTAATAACAGAATTGATGTATTTGGTTACACTTGGAGGTACGCTGAATTGGTCTTTCGGTTGATGTATTGTTAGCAGCCCTGGTGCAGTTTCACATAGGGATATCTTATTTTATGGTGACATTAGATGTCGAATAGACTCATGAAAATTACACCTAAACCCGTGGATGCTCAGAGGTAGGTGGGTAATTTGAGTACGGAAGCTCATGACACTAGTGGTTTCGGTCGGTTAGTATAGGATTTTTGAGGAGAAGTTTTACTGAATAAATTTGTTTGGATTTTGAATGCTGCACCTGCTAGTATTTACTGATGATAAAGTTTCTATAGACGGTCTTCGAATTCTGTTTGTATACTTTATAGTGTCTGCATTGTACATTTATGCAACCGTCAAGACATAATTGAGCCAACCTGCTGTTTCAAAAATGTGCTTAACAACAAAAATGCTACAGCTTCCAAAGTGTTTGTATTTATTTTTGGTTTTAAAGTTTGTTTGTGTTTGAAATATCTTTTTGTTTTTGATGTTGGTTTTATTGCTTGCTTTTGTTCGTTTGTTTTGAGTTTTTATTTTGTGTACATGATTACCATAGTTAGTGACTTTTGATGACCTCATTCCTAATATTAATTAATTGGGTAAATACCAATGGGTGAATTTACTAGGGCTGTTGCTATTCATATTTGGGTACTGGATTGACAGATTTATTAGTATGTGTTTCTTGCTTGCTATCTTGTAGTTCAGTGTGATGATATTTTAGCACATTCAAAAGCCAAGTGTGGAGTAGCATGTGCATTTTACTAGTACTCATGTAGGTTAGTGAATACAGAGTAGAAATTTGTTGAGTTTGCTTTTCTTTCAGAATTATTTATTTTTTAAAACTGAGAGTAGGCATTCTAAAATTTTAATTTCTAGCAAAGTTGAGGTGAGGATAACACTATTCGGGGCTATGAAATCCATTTACTTTATACCCCTAGATCTTTAGTTGGCACTTCGAAACACCTGTTGTCTTGATCATACAGATTTAAACCCTTTCAGAAGTCATCCTTTTCTGCTAAGGATTTTGTTTATTGGAATTTTATGTGGATTTGAGTTCTTATTAGATTGTGAAGATAAGTGGCAGAGGTTTTGAACCATGGTATTGGGCCTTTTGGGTTGATGGAATATGTGAACTAGCTTCATCTTTCAGATAGAGAAATCAAGTGACAATTGAGATGCTTTAAAAGAAATTAACTTTTTATTATAAATTTTTTGGCAAAAACTGTTGGTTTGTACTTACTTTAGTTTGCTGGAAGTGTTTGCAGTTTGGCTTTGTGGGTCTATATTTTAATTTGTTTTTGGGTTTCTTGTTCTATTTGTAATGTTTAAAAGTTCAGGTGTCAATTCACCATTTCATTAAAAGTCGATAGGCTTGATCTTGTTGTTGATTAATAGTAGTGACGCTTGTGTACTTGTCTAATACCAGTTTGATTACAAGATGGTAAAAGCTCATGCTTTTAATCAAAATCCAAAGTCGTTCACATGCAATTAATTACTTGTACTTTTGTAGGTTAACGTCCCCAAGACCAAGAAGACTTACTGCAAGTCGAAGGACTGCAGGAAGCACACATTGCATAAGGTGACACAATATAAGAAGGGAAAAGATAGCTTGGCTGCACAAGGGAAGCGTCGTTATGATAGAAAACAATCAGGTTATGGTGGACAGACAAAACCCGTGTTTCACAAGAAGGTGGATCTTGAGTTTTCATTTTTATTCGAAACTTTTCTACTTGATAGCAATCATTGACACCAAGCAACTTTGTAGGCTAAAACCACCAAGAAGATTGTGCTAAGGTTGCAATGCCAAGGGTGCAAGCATGTGTCCCAGCACCCAATCAAGGTTAGGTTATTTATTCCCCCCCCCCACCCACCCCCCACACACACACACACACATATATATATATATAGTGGTGTTGATATGTATGGGAGTTATTGATTGTTGTGTATGTGGTGCAGAGGTGCAAGCATTTTGAGATTGGTGGAGACAAGAAGGGCAAGGGAACCTCCCTTTTCTAAGGAAGCAGTTATCCGGATTTCAGCTATTATGCAATATTTTGTCTGTTTGAGGTTTACGATTATGTTATGGAGTTTTGCAGATTTTGAGGTTTACAATATTTTGAATCATCAAGTCTAAGTACTTTAAAATGTTCTTATGAAATACCCTTTGCTGGATTAACTTCTACCCCCTTATTATTGCCGTTCCTACTACTGAAGTTTCACCCAACTTATTCGACCTTATAACAACTCACAAAAGCCTAAATGAACCTATTTCAACATTTTTTTACTTCCTTAAAGATGAATGACAAAAAAGAAACACTCGTTTTTGGGCTAAACAATGTTCATACTTCTCAAATTTGCACCCATCATCTAAAAGCAGTTGTTTTTGAATAACAATTTAAAAGTTGACATGACTTCTATGACCATTTTTACTGTATTTAAATTGTCATTCAGAAAGTAAAAAGTAGGATGTTCGTGGTCTGCTTTATGTGTTTTAACCCCTCAAATCAGAAACCAAACCGCAACGATGGTTTAGAAAAAGTTTCAAACCAAGTGGTTCGGTAGCAACTAACCAAACCCGTCAAGCTAGATCACAAAAACTTAGTCTGGTTTGACTGGTTTAGGCCGTTTAGACATATTATAAGCTTTAAACTTAAAAACATAATATATATCTCCAAAATTAAAATTTCTACTGATAATAACACTAGTAAAAAAGTATTTTACCGAGTTATAAAGAAAACATTTGTCTTCAAAATTTCAAAAACATTGTGAGCTGGAAAAAAAAAATAAACAAGTGCACCAACAATAGTTGGAATTTTGGACAACGTTGAGTAAATCGAAGGACAATATAAATTTTGGTTTTTGATGGAGTAACAAATTTTATTGGTTTAGTAAATGCCGACAAGTGAAAAACCTAATAATGTATTGGAGGAATTTTTTTGATTGAGATAAAAATTGTTCCTACAATATAAAAATTAAATATAATTAATATATGTGTATTTATTTGGTGGTCAGTTTGATCCAAGTCGCTCAAAAAATATTCACACCTTGGACCATATAAGACCGAAGGTTTGACTATTTTTTAGATCGGACGAGAGATCACTTAAACAACAAAAAAGGGTCCAATTTAATATGGTATGTTGGGTTGAATGATATGAAATCAGTTCTTTTAAAAACTTATGGTAAAAAGGAGTTTTTAAAAAACTAGGAAAATTTGAGTTTACCTTTCAAATAATAGTTTACGTAAATTTCTAAAAGTAAAATTAATTAGAAATTAATGGATACAAATAGAATATAATGTAAAAAAATTTCAAAAAAATCCAACAAAATTTCTTATTTTGAATGATTTAGTTCTTAGGGCATCTCCAGTGCATGACACTCTACTAGAGTGTTATGGACTGCCACATCAGCATTCTACTCACCATACAACTCTATCATCTTATACCCACACTCCATAACACTCCAATGAGTTTAATGGATTTCCACATCATATATATATATATATATATATATATATATA